ACGCTCAACTGCAGCTATCCAAATACTCTTTGCATGGTCCTGCTGTGCACAGGCATGTCACAGTTGACATAGATCTGTTCTGACTTAAGATATGTAGGTGAAACATATTGTTTTGTTTTTCAGGCAGAAAATGCTGGTGGGATTGATTATGCGAAGGTAATGACAAACCTGCTAGACAAATCAGACCCTTGGTTCTAACCTTCTCTTTTGAGTTCCCGCGCTCTCTCCACACCATGCTCGATCTCTTTGGCATCTCTGAGCAAGACTGAGTCAAGAGACAGATTCCAAATGTAACAGGGGATAGAAATCCACCCCCAAGTGAGACCACTTCATTTATTCTTGTCAACAAATTTAATCCCTGTGAAGGAATGCCCTTGTCCCTTACGATCTAACAATACTTAGAAAGGTATCTGTTAGGAGCAGATACCTTTCTATTTAAAATGTAGTGCTGGATAGCTGACCCTAAGGAAATAGAGATGCAGAGATTTATGTACAGGGTGTTCAACTCAGTGTTATTTATATTAGTGAAAATTTTAAAAAACTAAATGTGCAACAATATGGTATATATTACACAAATGAAGTATCAGCCATATGATGGAATTCTATGCAGCTATGTCAAATGTTCAATAGCAATATTAATTGACATGAGAAAATGTTCATGATCTGTTTAATGATAAAAATGGTTGCCAAGCAGAATGTTTATTATGGCCTTCAATTTTAGGAAAAAGAAAGTATATAAACATGTTCTATACGTTGCCAAAGCCCTCCTGCCAAAGAGTACCAGGAACACACCAGTAGCTGAACACCCTGGGTTTCTTTTTTGTTGCAGTAAAGGAGAGCATGCACCATAGAGAACCGAAGGGTGTCTCCATAAAGTGTTAGAAGGGACTTACAGGATTTGAGCTTGCCTTAAGTGATTTTAAGGAAAGGGTTTAAGACAGCAGGGCTTGCTCTGGATTGGCTGCTGCCAGGCTACAGAGTAGTTTTATGATTGGGTGCCTTCATAAATCTTTATCTAGAGAGAAAAAAAGACTAGACCAGGACTAAAACTGTGGTTGGTTGGTTGGTTTGTTTGTTTGTTTTGAAAAACCACAACAGTCACTCATATTAGCCTGGATAGGGGCATGTTTGGTCATTTTTGTGGTTTGAAGGTTCTCATTTTGTCTGTGTTCAAACATGATTTTCAAGTGGTCTTTAGTCTGGACCCATCACAGTTACAGAATGACCTTATCTGACATCCGTGTTGCCATGAATGCTTTTGGTTCAATAAGAGACCAAAGCTTAGATGTGAGTCCCAGGGCAGCTCTTAGCAACACCAAGCCCCAGCTGATAATACCAGGCCAGTTTCTGGATGGCAGGGACTGATTTTCTCCTTCACAACCACACATTTAGAAAAGACGAGAATGATAGCAAATATCATTTACTAGGTGTTTATGATATTCCAGGCCATGTCCTAAGTGACTTACATCTTTTAATCTATTTAATCCTCACCACAACTCTGTGGGGTAGGTACTATTATTATTGCCATTTTCCAGAAGAGAAGAGTGTGGCATAAAGAGGTTAAGTTACTTACTCAACTCATCATAGTAAGTAGTGGAGCAAGAACTCAGCTTCAGGGCTACGGAACCAATAGGCTAACCTCTGTATTATGCTGCCTATGTATACAGTAACTTACAAACAGAGGTTACCTTTCAAAGTGGGTGGGGGAGTACAGAGGCAGGTGTCTTTTGGTTTCCTTCCTTCTCTTGATAGTTTTAAATTTTTCTACACTTAGTATGTATTGATTTTTAATCGGAAAAAAATGAATATTTTACAAATGTGCTAATAGAAGCTCTGTTCTCAAGGTCATTGTCCCAAATGCCAACTCAAGTCTCGGGTGGTGGCAAAGCTCCCCTGAACGCCTAATCAAAACAGGAGAAACACTGGGAGGAGACAACGCCCTCTCTCTTGTCTCTCTGGCTCCAACTCAATTTTGACAATACTAACTGGATTGCAGGCAATAGAAAGTGGCAGAAAGATCAACTGGCAGGCCGTTGGGTGTCTCGAAATTAAAGCAGACAGGGTGGAAGTTTCCCCAAATATACACAAAGACAATTAGGAAGAGTTGGGAGGGCTGGAAGCAAATGCCTCGGTCTCAACGGAAAGGCCCTTTCCGAGTGGGAGGACAACACTCCCACCCCGGCCAGCTGAGCAGTGCTGGGTTTCTCCCGCTCTAAGATTCAGCCCAGGCGGGAGAGAGGGGACGCCTGCGTGAGGGCTAACATTAAACGGCCGGAAATTCCAGGGATGAGAGAGATCCAAGGTTAGGAGGGAACCATTTGGAGGGACAAAGACTTCAGAATAAAGAGCTTCGGCGAAATGTGAAAGGCTCCCAAAGAGACCTGTGGGCTGGTTTCCTTTCTCTTACTTCTGCCGCCGGCATCAGGGCACATGAAACACCTCTGTTCGCTCCCCGCGCAGAGACCGACTTTAGGCCTCCTGAGAAGTGCCCACCCACCAGCTGCTGCCGGCTCAGCCGCAAAGAACCAGGCTCGCAGCATTTCCCGCCGCCGCCGCACCCGCCCCCCTTCGGTCTTTCAGTCTGCCCCACCGAGAGCCACGCAGGGCATCCACCCTGCCATTTAGCACCTTGGCTGCAGAGTGGTGGGTGCTTTCCGAAAGCCCGTGCCCTAGCAGCCACTCGCGCTCGCCTCGCCGCTGGCCGGGGCACAAGTCAATGAGGCTTTTCCCTCCGCGAGCATCGTGAATCAGCAAAGCGCTGCAGAGGAGCGGCGTATCCGCAAGCAGAAATTAAGACGCTGGGGGGGTAGGGCACAAGTCGAGTGTAGCTGGGGAATTTCTAGCCCCTCCCAATATGTACCTCCTGGGAAAGACAATACGGAGTGGTTGAGGGAGGTGTTGGCTGAAGCTGCTGGTGAACCTAAGCGCCCAAGGGGAGCCTTTGGAAGCAGTGAGCAGTGTGGGGAACAGCGAGGGTGAGCAGAGAAAGTGGACAAGACTACGGATGGATAGAAGGACCCAGGGAGCGCAGGCAGAACAGAGCGGTTACACCCCCGGGTTGGGCCGTGCAGCAGGTTCAGGTGTTTCTGAGGGAATATAGAAAGGAGGGTCTGGTGTGGGGGAAGGGAACAGAGAAACCAAAAGAGGAGGATTTCCCAGCCCACGACTTCCTGTTTCCAACGTGCAAGTTCCCAAGTTCAGTTTGAGAAGTGCAGGGCCGCTTGGCTTTGGGGAGTAATACCTCCCAGAGTCCCGTTCTCCCACCCATTTCCCTCTCCCTCTCCTCCTGTTCCCCTCTCTTCCTCTTCCCCTCCTCTTCCTCTTCCTCCTCCTCCTCGCCTCATTCCATCTTCCTTCTGCTTTAATTAATATGCATGTCCACGCTCAGTAGTGCGGGCCACAGACCAGGAACCGCGCCTCTATTCCCAGCCGCCTCTGGCTTGACCCTTGGCACTAGGAGGCCAAGCAGAAGCGACCAGAGGCTTAGGAGGCGAAGGTCGAGCCCTAGGAGAGTGAAACCTGGGGACCCCTCGCCACGCCCCAGTCCCCACCCCCATGGCCGGACAGAGCGACTCAGTGGCCCAGACTCTTGAGATCCGGCTCCATCTGCGTTGCAAAGGATGGACCCCGGGGCTTGGAGAGCGCAAGGAAAGGCGCTAAATTGTACCTGTGCATGGCCGTTCCCGCCGCCGCAGGTCTATCCCGGGCCCGAAGCCGGCGCCCGCCTTCTTGGGGAATTTTCTGGAGGGGGAGTTCGAGGGGAACCACAGTGGCTGCCTGCTAGCTCAAGGCTGGCGCGCACACGTACACGCCCAACTTTGCCGAGCCCTCGGCGCCCCCGAGCTCCCCCGCGCCCCCGGCGGCTCGGTAAGCTCACAGACCAGTATCTCTCCAGGTCTGAGATAAGGTGTCCCCCACTCCCCACACTCGCGCGTTTGAGAAGGAGAGGGCGGGGTGGAAGAGAAAAGGGGAGTAACGCTCCCGACTCCCTGACCAGCTGTTCACAAGCACTCTACGCCCGCAGGGGCGCCCGCTCCAGCCCCGCCGCACCAGGTCCCCCAGACCCGCCAATGACGACAGAGGGGGGAGGGGGAGGAAGAGGAGGCGGCGGCGGCGTTGGCAGGGCAGAGAGCCGGGAGCCCGAGAGCACCGGAGCCCTGGTGACCCGCAGCTCCATCGACCTACCATCATTATCAGCACTTTTATTACTGGGGGACGGGGTGGGGAGATTGAGGGGTGCGCAGCAGAACTGCCCAACCCGAGTCCGTCTGGAGCGATCCTAAATGAGGGCTAGTATATTCTCCACAGGCGCTTTTTGGGTGGACGCGCCCCAGACGCACACCCGGACCCCATGGTCCCGCAGAAGCTGCAGTGTTGGGGATATTTTAAATGGCTCTTAGTTGAGAGGAGGCGTGATTTCCACGTTCGAGCGTCTTCGCTCCCCACCCCCTCTCCGCACCAGCCAGTGCGCGCCACCACCTGAGCTAGGCGAGAGCCAGGGCGCACGCAGTCTTCAGCCTCTTCCTTTCCCACTCTGGGGGGATCGGCTCTGAGCGGGTCTGCCCGACGCCCCCCGGGAGAACGCTTTACTTTTTGTTTGGGAAATCGGGGCCATTTCTTTATTCATCTCTGGGTCTCCCCGGAGGATACAGGGGAGGAGAAGGCGTGAGCGGGCGGCGGGCCGGGGGAGGGGAGCAAGGGGAGGGGAGGGGACTGGGTGTAGCCTGGAATTCTCTGTCCTCGTGTTCCTAGGCTGGCGCGCAGAGTCTCCCCGCGATAGCGCCGCCGCCGCTCCCCGTGCTACCCCGTCGTTGGCCTTGGGGGTCGGGTGAGTGGGGTCATGACGCGCCGCGGGGGCTGCCCCGGGCCCCTTCCGCGCTGAGCCGGGACGCAGCCCAGCCGCGCAGAGCCCCTCGGGCGGGGAGGCGGCGGAGGGTGGGGAGGGCGCACGGGATAGGGCGGGGTGGGGGCGGCGCGGAGACCGCCAGGCTGGGGGGCTCTCCAAGCCGACGCGGGCAGGAGGGCGTGTCTCCGTCCCGAGGGGACCCTCCCGAAGCGCGGCGCGGGACTCCCCGATGGTGGTGCCGCGGCTCCGGGAAAGCTCCGGGTCTCGCCTTCGCCGCCGCCGCCGCCGCCGTCGCCACCGCGGGCGCCACCACCGTCGCCGCCGCCGTCGCCGCCGCCGCCCGAGCCCGCGCCGAGCGTGCGCCTCGCCCTCCTCCCGCGCCCGCTCTGCTCTAGGATGCTGCGGCAGGTCCTACACAGGGGCTTGAGGACGTGTTTCTCCCGGCTTGGCCACTTCATTGCCAGTCACCCGGTCTTCTTCGCCTCGGCGCCCGTGCTCATCTCCATCCTGCTCGGCGCCAGCTTCAGCCGCTACCAGGTCGAGGAGAGCGTGGAGCACCTGCTGGCGCCCCAACACAGCCTCGCCAAGATCGAGCGCAACCTTGTTAACAGCCTGTTCCCGGTCAACCGCTCCAAGCACCGGCTCTACTCGGATCTGCAGACCCCCGGACGCTACGGCCGGGTCATCGTCACCTCCTTCCAGAAAGCCAACATGCTGGACCAGCATCACACCGACCTGATCTTAAAGGTGAGAAGGGGGCGGAAGCGGGCAGCCTCCACTAGCGCTGCTGCCGCTGCCACAGCCGGACTGGCTGTGCGCGGGGTCCGGGCTGAGAGCGCCGCCTCTCCCATCCCGGGCGCCTGCCGCAGGGGCTCCCCTGCACCGCGCGCCCCTCGGAGGCCGCCCAGAGCCTCCCAGCCTCTTGGGTGGGAGCGTCCCAGTCCGGGCCCGGCCCTGCCCTCGCCGCCGTCGTTGCCACCCAGGCAGCTGCTGCAACAGTTGGGGCGGCGGCAGTCAGGGTGCTGTGGTCAGTGCGCTGCCTTTGGTTGCATTGGCCTTCGGGGCGGGAAGGCTTTGGGGTAAGTGGGCCAGGAAGGAACAGAATAAGAAAAAAGTCCTGCTAGTTGAAAACAACATACTATGTATGGCAAGATTCAGAGACCCCTCTCCCCTTCTTCTCCTTTCCCCACCCCTTCCTCTGGCCCCCACAGTGTTTTGGGAAAGGCAATTTGGAGAGGCCGTGAGGTGGCAGAGGAATGTGAAGTGAGATGGTGGGGAAAACGCCTCCCACCTCCCAGAAAGAAGTGCGGTCCCTGACAAGGACAGGGGTTGCCCTGCTGCCCTCCTCCCGGGAGCGAGGTAGCCATCTCTGTCTTCTAGGGTAGGAAATGATATTTGTAATTCACAGTTATTTCATTTTTCACAGTATCTCCTCTCCTCCAAAATGCAAAAACTTCTTCAGGCAAAGAGGGGTTCAATTGATCCACTTTTATTTGGGTGCATTTGCGCTCCAGGGTGAGGCGCAGAACCTGAGAGTGAGAACAGACGCCAAGCTGTATAGCCCTGAGAAGAGCACAGGAAAGCAAGCAGCTGGTTAGAGGGTGACTCTCGCAGAAACAGGTTGTGCCATCAGCCTGAGGGGAGAATTTGATGTGAAAAGTGAGGTTAATGATGATAACTTTCAGGAAGTTCCTAAGAAAAGCAGAGGAGTAAGGACTAGAGATGGAAAAGTGGAGACCTTGGGAGAGAAGAGCAAAAATAGGTGAGAATGTTCTGTCCAAATCCCTGGTGGAGATTATGGAGTTTGTTTACTTAAGGTGCTCTTCTGGGGGTGGGGGAGGCAGACAGGAACCAGTCCCAGATGTAGCCCTGGGGCTCAGGGATGAGAGAGGTGCTGCTTTTGTGTGGGTCTCTCTGGTCTAGAGCCAGGATTGGAGGCTCATTAGATTTCTAGTCTTATTCCAAAAGGAGTCAGCCCATGAACCTGGGGAACTCTTTCTTTCTCTTTCCCTCTACAGGTAACCCTTTATCCCTAGGGGCAAGCTCATTTCCCTCCATTTGTTGACTTGTCAATTAGTAATGATGGGACTCTAACTAGAGACTCAATGGAATTGGAACATTCCCACATTGGGTGGCTCGTCATATTTTTAATGGCACGCACATATCACACATACTCATCACAGAACCTTGGTAACATTAATCTCGATATGTTTGCTTTTTCTCATCATTATACTTCCAACATCAAAGTGTTTTTTCCCCAATACCTCAGTGAACATATGTTGGCACACAGACAAATACTGCTCCAAATGCTTTCTCAAGAAGACACGTAGTAGTTTCATCACAGGCTTAAGGAAACTAGAATTTAGCCAGTCGTGACAGTTGGAAAGCTGCCCTGTGTTTTGATAGATGATCTACTCTATAATATTTCTCTTTGTATCCCCCACCCCCGTCCCAGGAGATATTCCCACTAGGTTTCTTTCCCCCTAACAAACCCTAATGCCAGTGTGATGGGCAATCACCAGCTACATTCACTCAAGGTTAATGAGACATCAACAGGCACATCAGATCTCTTCTCAATTCGATTGTTTTTCTCCTGTTTGATTTTGATCTGTTCAAAACAGAAAACCGTATTATAAGGGAAAGTGGGAGGGAGAAAGAGACTGGCTTTGCCTCTGTGTCTAAAGGGCAACTTTAAAGGACAGCGGTCTCGTCGGTGAGTTGTTTTAAGAAATGGGATGGTTTTCGTGTTCCAGGTGTCTGGGGAAAATCACAGCCCTGTCAAACAGTGGTCAGAACTCATTTCTAGCTGTTGGCTCTCTGGTCAAATAAATTCATACAATTTATAAGGACCCAGACTTAGGAAAGGACTGCCTTTGATTTTATGTATCCATTTTTTTCCTTTCTACATCCATCCCCTATATTTGGTAGGTATGGAGCTGGGGGACAGAAAAGTAGACCTTCAGTACTCATGGTAATGTAAAGTGTGAGCAGGGGCACTTATTATTTTTTTTTCCTTTTTTCTATGAGAGACACGGTGAAGACTTGTTCTTTATAAAAGGTGTTAGGAGTGAGCGTCACTATTGCTGCCCCTTACTAGTGTTATTCCAATACTTGGTTGCTGGCATCAAGGATAGCGCTGACAGTTAACATTGTACACAACACCAGCCAGCCTCTGCCGGCTTTACTACATGGCATTAGAAGTGAAGTGGACAGAGCCTGAGCAGGGCTCTAGGCTTTTTCAGGCCCTGCTAGGAAACTAGAGGAAGTAACTTACAGAGCTGTGTCCTTTACTCCTCATAGTGCTCTTGGTTGTACCTGAATATTCAATGAAGGAGATCCTTCTTGGGATATTAGTCTAGCTACTTTCTGACCAAACATAGACTGGAATAGGATGATGACAAAAAACAAAACCCCAGGCTTAGTTTTCAACAAATATACTTGAGAGTATGACAGAAAAACAATAATCCATATTTGAAAACCCAGTTGATCTGCTTTGTAGCTTTCTCAGATTTGTGCAAGGGATGGGACTGCCATTCTCTGACTCTGGAGCATAACATCTGACGCCAAACTATGAGGGGGGTGACTCTCCGTCACGACGGTTTCCGCTGAAGGCTGTGTGGCAAAGATGTAATTTTTAATGAAAGTGGGTGGGGCCTCATGGTGCTGGTAGGGGATCAACCATTAATTTCCGAACCTGTTTAAATAAATGTTGATCTTCAAAAGTCTTCATTTCACTAGAAGATTAAATTTAGCTCATTATCATATTTTAATAGAAAATCCACGATGTTTCTCTCAGAGCAAATTTCCGGATAGTGTTTCATGAGCTTTTATAGATAAGATTTTTTACTTAATCACCTAAAATGAAGTGTAGGAAGGTCTTGTTGATAATTGACCAAGACGATACTTGATTTACTCCAGAAGCATCTGTGTAGAGTGTAAACTGAAGAAACAGTTTAACCCAGTCCTTAGAATAATGTTACCTACCCCCTTTATGACACTGTAACATGTAAACATGCAATATGTTCTAGATACAGTAAATGCCTCAGGATGGGCAGGACAGTATTATGATCCCATTTTACAGATGAGAAAACTGCTCTTTAAAAATTAACTGACTAGTCCGTGGAAAAAAAAAACAAAGACAGAAACCAGGACCGGGACCCAGGATTTTTGATTCCCAGCAAAGTGCTCTTTTCACTATAATTTCCTGTCTCCCATGTGACAAACTACTTGAATTATTTAAAATGTACATTTTTGTTATCCAGATGAAACATATTTGACCAAAGTCTCATACTCATCCCGTACTATTGTTCCAATAGTGATAATTAGATCATAAAGACATCCTCTTGACTGATCCTTTCTGATGTCAATGAAAATCCACATACAGGGTAGGGCAAAAGTAAGTTCACGGTTGTGAGAATGCAGAACACAAGAGTTCATTTTTCTATTATTATTTATGAATTAGTGTATCATGTTCCATACAAGGAATTATAAACCTACTTTTGGCCCTTCCCTATATAGAAACTCTTAAGTGCTCAAAGTAAACCATGAAATATTTGTAATTGGCAGTATACAAAGATAGAAAGATCGAATATTTTACTGAAAAAATACCTCTGGCTTTTTTTTTACTGGAAAAAAACACTCTGGATGATTAAAGGTGGCAATTTCATGTTGGGGCGCTGTTCACTGGCCGGGTTCAGGTGGACTCAACTCCAGTGCCTCACACAGTCCCTGGCACACAGTGGACCTTCAATGAACGCTTGTCAAATGCACATGCCCTGGATTACTCAGACTCTGGTGTGGTGGGTAAAGAAAACTCCACAGAAACCACTTTAGAATGTATTTTCCAAATGACATTTTTATTTTTACAACTATACAAGCAGTTTCCAGGCTTGTCTTTTTCCAAGATACTGTTTTTCTTTCCTCATTAACCACTGTGGTCACATCAAAACATATTTCAGTCTTGAAACTAGGTAGGGGCCTTTCCTATGCATAATGTCCCCTTCTTCAGAGGAACCTCATAGGATTTTTTTTTCAAACCAAGGGAAGGACACATCATTGTTTTGCAGACACTCTTCCATTTACTGGGGAATCTCACTGTGTTCAAATATTCAGTTTCTATTTCATTAAAACTTTTTTATGTTTAAATACATTAAGTAGAATTAACTAATAGAATTTAACTTGGAATTATTTAATTCGGGTTTTCCAGGAAGGGGAGAATAATTGCTACCTCAGTGTCACGAAGACCTGGTAGCTGGGTCAAGATCCCAGTTTTCCCAAATACTACCTCAGCACTTTCAGTCATTACGGGAATCAGCATCATTCCTTTCTCTACAGTGTAAGGATCAGCATATTCCGGCCTATTTTCAAGCTTGGAAGTTTGTACATTTAAAAAAAAAAGTATCAAAACAAAGACAAATAAGAATATGAGGCAGAGATGGCACGTGGCCCCCAAAGCCAAAAATATTTACTCTTTAGTCCTCTACATAAAGAAGTTCCTAGACTGTATTCCCAAACTTTGCTAAAGCATTCTCAGGAAGTTACTACTATTAACCTCTAAGGCAGTGGTTCTCAACCAGGGGTGACTGTACCCCCCCAGGCAACATTTGGCAATGGTTGGAGACAGTTTTGATCCTCAGAACTGGTAGTGGGTTGCTACTAACATGTCCTGGGTGGCAGACATGGATGCTGTTACCCACCCTGTGGGCATAGGATGGCCTCCCACAGCAAAGAATTGCCTGGCCCCAAAC